TCGGGAAAGTCATGACGTATTTTTCTGGTTCTCAATGCAAAACTGCATCACGACTTTCCCGACTGCCTAATAGTTAATGAGGATTACTTACTTATCATGCCCTCTGCTAAATGCTGGATGGTGCAAAGATCAAGAACACACGGCGCCTGTCCTAATGGGGCTTCAAATTCCATGGGCTGGCAGAGGGGTACACAGCTGATCAGAATTGGAAGTGATTTAAGTGCCCTAAAGAGGGTGGCACTACACCCTCTGCAGCGTTAGTGGCATTCAGGGTGAGCCAAACCCAGATGAAAATTTCAAACTGAAACTGTGAGGCAGATTAATAAAGTTAGGGCTCTTTTAAGCTCAGTTCCTATAAGCCCACTGATACAGTTAAAATGTGGGATACAAAACTGAAAGCAACAAAGGGACAAGACAAACAAATGAAGGAACAAAAACTCACTGACACACACAATAGTTTACTGGTTACCAGAGGGTAAGGGGGGGAGGGGGTGGTAGATGAGGGTAAAAGGGATCAAACATATGGTGATGGAAGGAGAACTGACTCTGGGTGGTGAGCACACAATGTGATATATAGATGATGGATTACAGAATTGTACCCTTGACACCTATGTAAGTTTACTAACCATTGTCACCCCAATAAACTTTAATTGAAAAAAAAAGTAAATGGATTTGCCTATGAATAAAATTTTCTGGAGGCAATGGCAGATAACCTATCTGCTGGAAAAACTAAGGACTTTGAAAGAAATCCTTTTACAGTCATCCCTCTGAAATGTGAACCATATGAAGCATTGAGTATTTATAAACAAAAAGGATAGGAAGTATTATCTATGTATTATAATGATCAAAGAAGTACTTCTGATCCACTTGGTCCCTGAAAAGGATTTTGAAAATTGTATTTGTTGGTTTTCTTATTTCCAAAAGGTAAAGACTGTTGACTCAAAATGTGATGCTCTAGAGTTGTCATAGAGAATAAATACTCTCAACACGTGTGTGTGTTGTTCAACTGATGTGTCACTATATCTAATATTACTGCCATAACTTTGAATGAGGAAGTGAATTAAATGCAACACCAATTTTCAGATTTCTTTGGAATTTTCTTTCATTCTTAGAATTTTCTACTTCCAATATGTTTAAAGTTCCTCTTTCATAAGCCCCAGGAGTATCAATGGTAACTTTTTTCCTTTATATTTTGATAGAATTTCAGACCATAGGAAAGTTTAGAGAATAGAACAAGAGGCTCTCATACACCTAGACTAACCAATTGGTTATAGCAATAATTTAACTTGAGTGTGCTAATTCAAAAAGGAGCTCAATACAATAACTAGGTATTTACTTTCTCTACGGACCATTTTATCTAATTCCAGAGAAAATAACTGCTTTTGGAAGTCAGAGGAAAAAAGCTGAGTGGATCTCTTATTACTAAAATGATATGGGGGGCCCGGATTAACACTACAATCTTGAGTAACACCCATTCAAGTATTCATTAGGAGTACTGATTAGCAGCACAGGGACCATGGCTTAAAATTCTTGATGAGCCCACTGTGCCCTCTGATGTCACCAGCTTCTGAATCCATTGGAGGTGTCAACAGTAAGCACCCAGAAACATTTGTGGAGCTTTGCTTCAAGAGCAAGCAGTCAGAAATATGATTTCATCTTCTTTACCAATTATTGACTAGGTGAAACACTTCTTGAGTTTACATTAAAAAGTATTTTATTTTGTTTTCTATCTCAAAATAAACATTTTTTTTAAATAGAAAAATTTTAACACACTAGGTAATCATGCATTTTTCAAGGTCAGGCATGGATTTTTTTTTCCATGGATATATAAATAAAAACCAGTCATTACATAGAAAGGAATTCATTTCTGAAGATACAGTTTTACATCCTTTCATGAAATTTGGGACACCTGAAGAGGTTGCACATCTGAGAACTGAGGAAAGACGGGACCCAGGTTATAGAACGTGATTTCAGTTGGCCATCATTTCGTTTGTTCCCTAATACAAACCGTCTACAGCTTGTAACACTGTAGAACGATATCACTTGTGTCAAAGGTAACACCAAAAGAAGAACCCAAAAATAGTCAACCACCAAACAATATGTTGAGAAAGTTGTATAAGCCAAACCACCAGTATGGCTTATAGTTCAAAAGCAAATTTTAAAAGCAGCAGTGTTTTTCATTTCATGAGAAAAAAAAAGTATTAACAAGTAAGAACAGCAGTACGTGATTTAAAAATCTGTAATTCAGTGTGTGTTTACATGTATGCAAATGACTGACTAATTCCGGCCAAAATATACCAATTTGTTCATGTATTGTCTTAATAATACACAACACAATACATGTTCTAACCAAAAAACTCACACTTTGAACATCTTCTGTATCTATAGAGAAATGGAGGCGTAACCGGAGGGCAGATTTTTGACACTTCCAGTTGCATCAAAGAGAAGGGGACCTTCCCAGGGGTTATTATTCCATCACTGGTCCCTGAATATAGCTGAAGTTCCCAGCCACAAGGTGAAATTGGCCCTCAGAGACCATTTCTCCAATTATCAGGAAAGGATCTGTCCAAAGGCATTTAAAAATGAAACCTGACCTACACTTCAACTCTACAGCAGTGGGCTGCCTGCACAAAAACAATGTATGACCTTTAAATCTTAAATTATAAAACAGTTTGTTGAAAGTGTAATGTATTTAGCTTTTATCTAATAATGTAGACAAATGCAATCATTTCCTTGCCAAAACCAGAGGAAAAAAAATAGCAAAAAAGTCCCATTTTCATTACTTATAAAGAGAACTACCAGCCACAATAACTGGGAAGCTTTTTCACAAATCCTACTGGAAATTTTGATTTGCCTTTTAATAGATATAAAAATAGCAGTCCTATCTAAAGTTTAACAGAAATGAAGGTGATCCTGAACGTGACTTTTACATTTTCTTCCCCTCTTTTCCCTGTTCTTTGTGCATGAAAAAATTATAATACTTATATTATATTTAAAACATACTTAATTTATTTCCTATATATTTATTTTATTATATGTTTGCTGTAGGAAAGTCAGCACACAAATATGATGTAATAATGAAAAAGCAGTAGATGTGGGGAGGTATAGAAAGAATCAAGGAGAACTTTAGAAAATTGTATAAGACTAATGAAAATACTAACCCCCAAATTGACTTATTCACCCTATATGTGTATTGAACATGAATTTTGATTAGTCTTATGAGGTTTATAAACCATTTCAAAACTGGCTAATTAGTATACCAAATCAAATGGTTGACTATTAGTTGAATTTAATGTTGGTATTATGCTAGGGATTATGGTTTTAAAGATGGATCTATAGAAATAAACTATTTTAATTTGGCAACATTTTCAAATTTGGTTCCCAAACCTTAACATTGTCAGTGGTAACTTCCTTGGCCCTGCAATCTAACACGATGCCACCAAAAAGGAGGAATTAACACCCAGAAGATGGTCTGTCACCAGTTTTGTGACGTTGGACAAGTGTATTAAGTACTGTGCACCTCAGTTTCTTCATCTGTAAAATGGGGCTTATGGGGCCTTCTTCAGGGGATTGGTGTCAGAATTAAATGACATATTGAGAAAAAATGTAGAGAGATTTTTCTAAATTAAAAGTAATAGATCCAAACCATGAGCTTTATAGTTGGACCCTAGTTCAGAGGGGAAAAATGATTATAAAAGGTATTTGTTGATTCACCCTGAACATTTTAATATGAACTGAATTTTAGGTGATATTAAGGAATATTCTTATTAATTTTCTTCGCTGTGATAAAGATATGATGGTTACAAAAATCATATTCTGATTGTCAGTATACATTTGACAAAGTATTTACAAGTGCATGCAACTTCGTTTCCAATGATTAAGGGAAGGGGGAACATATAGATACCCACAGAGATAGAGAAATGGGGCAGGGGAGGTAAAGCCAATATGTCAAAATGTTAATTTTTGAATCTGGGTGGAGAGTACATGGGATTCATTTTATCATTTGTTTAACGTTTAGATATTTGACAATTTTCTAAGTAAAAATTTGAGTGGGAAAGAACACTTAATTGAGATCATGTCATTAAAACATATAGTTCCTATTAGATGCAGCTAGTGCTCGTAGATATTCTGACCACCAGTCTAGGTCACCATCTCGTTACACTGGCTGTTGTACAGTGTGAACAGCTCCCTGCACACAGCAGATAAGCAGTGAGCACTTGTTGAAAAGAAAAAAAAAAGAATATAAATTGTTGAAATCCTCTAAAAAGGGTGTCTCAGAGTCCATCAGGGTCACGTGCTGAGAGGACAGCAGGTACCCAAAGCTTAGAGGTTAAGGACACTGACCTTTTTTTTTAAAGATTTTATTGGGGAATTGGGGGAGGGGAACAGTGTTGGGGAATTGGGGAAGGGGACCAGCCAAGTTGTTCTTAAATCTTCGTTGTGGAGGGCGCCAGTCGCCATCTGGCTGCCCATCGGCAGCTCATGGCCTCTAAGCTCAAGGTGCTGTGTTCAATCTTAGTTGCGGGTGTGCATAGCCACCATCCCATGCAGAAGTCGAACCAGCAGCCTTGTTAAGAGTGCACGCTCTATCCACTGAACCATCCAGGCAGCAGCTCAGCTCAAGGTGCCAAGTTCAGTCTTAGTTGAGGGTGGGCATAGCCCACCATCGAACAGGCAGTCTTGTCATTACACCAGCTGAGCCATCCTGCCACCTGTTGGCAGCTCAGCGACAGCTCAACTTGGGTGCAGCATCACTGGCCCATGTGGGAATCAAACCAGCGGCCCTGTTGCTCAGAGCTCACGCTCTTAAGCTAGCTCTTAACCAACTGAGCCACTTGGCTGGCCCAAGGACACTGACTTTTGAACCTAACCATCTGGATTCAAATTTGTAGTGGGGGCAACAAGGTCACCTTGGGTGAGCTATTTAACTCTGAGCCTAATTTTCCCAGCTGTAAAATGTGACATAAAAATACTGTTGTTCCTATCACACAGTATCATTATGAAGGTTAAATAACACAATGCACTTTAAATGGTGCCTTGCACACAGTACATACCCAAATATTAGCTATCTTTATAATTATGTAGATAACAATCTCCTATTCTAGAGTACCATGATCTGGGAGGTCCTGCCAATCTTTAGTCAGGATTGCTCCTTCACCTATTAAACCCAATTGAAGGCGTTATACTTAGAAACTTCCTTTAATTTTGTTCTATCTGTAATCTTCCCTAAAAACACCAATTCAGCTATTCTTGCTTTGGTTCTCTTTACAGAGAATTCTGGTAACAACAATGAAGTTTCCACACGGCAGGTTTTTATTTCATTCTCAAACCTCAAGCATTATTCTTATATTAGTATAAATCTAATGTTTTATAATGTAAGAGCTACAAATACAATTAGTGTAAAATGAATGTCTCGAGAATCTTTTCTGAATCTACGATATCTGCATTTCCTGTGTCCTCAAAAAATTAAAAAATGGGATTGTTGGGGTTAATGTCCCAACTTCTCAGAGAAATAGCATTAGTGTTTTAGGCCTTTGTGGGCTTCGATCTACACCCAGGCTTTCAGCTTGGGCATTCTCTGAATGTTCCCACTCCTGTGTTGTTATCTTGGAGATCATTCAAAAGTTATAATACTTTGTTTTTATACTTTAAGATGTTTAGTATAATAACATTTTTGCATTCATTTATCTCATTAAAAAAATATGTCACTAACATTTTAAAATCCAAATGGTGACAGATCGTTTTTGGTCATTTCAGAGACAGTCCAATGATAACCACGTGCCTTATTCATAGGCCACCTTACGGGTTCCAAAGGCATGTTTCCTCCCAGCAATTCATTTGATCCTCATAGGAATTCCCTAAGATGGTCTGGGCAGCTCTTAGCCCCAGCTTCCACGTAGGGAAAACGGCAGTCACAGTGGTGAAGTGAAAGCTACTCAAATCGTACAGAAATTATAGATGCTTACACCTTACAGACACACAGCCACTCCAGCCAATGGCCCACATCCCTTCTCTGGGCTTCCATTTCTTTATTTGTGTGGGCTACCTGGGATTTGTCACACTGCTTTTCCTGAAAAACAAAACCCTGTCTCCTCTGGTTGTCCATCCCCCTCTGGACCCTGAGCCATCCATAGGGCAGCACCTAAGAGTTACTCACTCAGAACCCAAAATGTAACATCAAGACAAGAGCACAGCGATACCCCTGGTTACCCATAACTAATCAAATAAAAGCAAGATACAAACAACTGAATCTGTCAAGTAGTCCGACAATGTGACTTCCTTTTATTAAAGCGTATCAAAAGGAATTCTGCTTCTGGTCTTTCCTCACTATGGTAGAGGTATTTGTCCTCTCCTAGCTTTAGCTTCCTCACTGTGGAATGTTACTGTTATCCCCACTCTTTAAGGTTATGCTGACCACGAAAGAAGAAAATGCATGGGGACGTATCCAACAGCACCCAGTCCTTAGTAAGACTTTGATAGACATTTATTGAACTGAACTAAACCTTATGGGTGAAGAAATGCATAAATTTTAAATGTGAATGTACAACAGAAAGTAGAAAATATATAACTCAAAATTATAAATTAGATACCTTGATATTAATTAAGCACAAACTGCTTACATACTAGACATTTAAAATCATTTTACTAAATTACAGCTGAATAAGCATCACAAAATATCCAAAATGTCAGTAGTTTGAGCAGTTGGCTAGAATATGTGTACGAATTTAACAGAAAAACTGAACTTCTAAATTTTACAGAACAACGCGAGTATGGTTATGTACATTATGAGGTTCTAATAGGAAGAGGAAAAGGAAGCTGGTAATTCTCTTGAAAATTTTGGGAAGCCAGATAGGGGCAGGTTTGGGTGGGAGAGTGGGCAGTGAACAACCTGACCAGGAGTATGAAGATTCTAGAACAGACGGTGTAATACAGACCTTCATAACCTTGAGCCATAGTCACTCAACATGTGTACAGGTCCTGGGGCTGGTACTTAGCAGCTTTCTCCAAAGTGAACTTCTGTTGTCAGTACTGAGATAGCCCTTCTCTCCAAGAAAATGAAAGAACCTCTTCCATCCTTACCTGATTTCGGAAATGAATTGTGAACAGTGCACTTACCAGCTGATTCTGATAGGCAGTGACTGCCGTGAAAACTGTCTCGGGGAAGATGAACGTTCTGAATTCTTCAGACTTCAGGTTGAGCAGTGAGGCCGTGTGGTCTTTCTTCTTAATGATATGCACCCGTGGCTGGTACTTATGCATTGAGTTCAAAATTATCTACCACAAAGAAATGGGGAGTATGGAATTTTAAGGATTTATATTGCTAACCAGGCCAAAGTACATACAATAAGTCAAAGAAAGAACCACAAAATCCACAGATTCAAATTCAGTTTCAAGACTAGGATCTATGTTTTTCATGCTTAGAGCAAATCATCTGCACAAGAGACTGCAGAGTCATCCTTGTGAAGCACATTTTACCCAAACGGCTGTAAATCATACAGGCCCTTTCAAGTATCCTTTCTAAAATGCTGGGGGAAAAGTCATCTGGATGATAAGTTTATATATTTTTTTAAATCAAGTATTTAAAACATTTTTTGTTTGTGAATCTCGTTAGGCCATGAGGTGTATGTTTAAATTTTCTAAAGTAAGAAATTATATATTCTAGGGCGACAGGCTGTTATTTATGGGAGGATAAAACAATTTAGAAAGGCAGGCCTTGTGATAATACTGAATCTGCTAATTTCTAGCCCTTTTAATCTTGGGGCAAGTGATGCAAAAACAGTATTCACCTCATAAGGTTGTAGTGAAGATTAGGTGATGTAATACTTGTCAATCACAATGCAAACAGGAAGAGCCCAGTAAATATGAACTGTATTATTATTGTTGTTGCTGTTTCTGACAGCTTCGCTGATTCCTGATTTCCAGTTAAAAACTAAACATGAATGAGAGTGGTGACCACCTCCCATTTCATGGCTAATAAAAGTTGCCCAATTCTCAGAAATCAGAAGCATACACTGGTTGACAAGGGTACCTTTTCATATATCTTTTAAATAAAATAGAATAATTTGCCGTTATGAAATCGGAGCAACTAAATTCACTTTCAGATATAAAACGTTTTCTACATCTTCCCCTGCTGCCACCCAGGCAGCTACCTAAATCTGCACAATTAGGTATGTCTTTCCTGGGATGACACTGTATGCCCTTCACCCCAAGGGCCTAGCAGAGAGCCTGGCTCTCAGGGGGCGTGTTTCATAAACACTGTGGCAGGACCAGGTTCAATGGCACGCAGTGTTGGACAGAAAACTGATGGCTCCCTTGTTTTCTTGGCTAATGTGGGTGTGGTAGATGAGTGTTCCTGCTGGTTGGCTTAACAGAGTCAAATCCTAGTCACTGTGCAATAGATAATGGATACAGAATCAATCTCTCTCTGTGCTGAGATGTAAGCCAAGTTAAAGTTACAGAGCATTCACTGGTATTGAATTTTGTACACGCCACCTTTTTATGATCCCAAACCTGAATAGGAATAACAAACAAATACAAGCTTCAGAGGAACTGAAATGAACTTTAAAAAAAGTCATCTCTTTGTATAATGTATGTATTCCGGGGAGTTCAGGATATCTATGCTCGGTTATAAAACTGGAATAAACTTGAAGTGACACAAGATATAAAACATTTGCCTCCTAAAACACACACACACACACACACACACACACACACACACACACACACACACACACAGGAAAAGCCCTAAGCTTTAAATAAGGTGCCCTCTCTCCTACTTACCCACCCAAGGTCAATTTCCTTTGGAAAAGGGACAGACTCAGACCCCAGACTGAATATCAGACCCCAGGGCTCCCTGACTCTCTGCTCAAGCCATCATGGCGCTAAGGGAGACTAATAGACACGTGGACTCTGCTTCCTCAAAGAAATAAATTCCTGGAAGTAAGAATTTTTCCTATTATGACACGAAAAATGCATCAGTAAGAGGGGCTTTTTCAGGTCTAATTCAGAGAACATGGCTAAACAACATAGGATCTAAAAATCTTTCCTTGCAGTTTTCAGAACACACTATTTCTGATGACAATGAGTTATATTAAATAATAAAAATTTAAAACTAAAATGGATATTAACCACCATGTAAAACTAAACAATTTGTCAAAGTCTAATCTTGGCACAATCAGACTGGAACCCGGAGCTCCTGAAATACAGCCTGGTGATATTCCCACCCATAAAGCTGGTGATAAAAAGAAAACATATCAAATTCTGAACAGTTGATATTAGAATGAACTCGCAGGTCTTTCTGGAAAGACCCAGTTCTTCTAAAAGCTTTACATATGGAAAATACCAGAACCATTAAAAATTTTCATTTCTCCCTGCAGATATTTCAGTATAACCCAAGAAAGTTTATATAAATGACATTAAGAATGATCACTTGGCCGGCCGAGTGGCTCAGTTGGTTAAGGGCTCTCTCAAGAGTGCAAGCTCTGAGCAACAGGGTCGCTGGTTCGATTCCTGGCCCGAGCTGAGCTGCCACTGAGCTGCCAACAGGTGGCAGGATGGCTCAGCTAAAAAACCAAAAACCAACAAACAAAAAAAGAATGATCACTGACCTACAGAAAACGTCTCTCAGACACGTCATAAATTTTAACCTAAAAAAATATGCCAACCTCCTTAAAATTAAAGGTCAGTTTATCATTTCCAACACATAAAATAACAGAAATCTGTTAACCTGCTTTGAACATCTCAATGGTACCACCAGCAGTCATGAGTTAACCTGGTTACTCTGACATAGTTGTGATAAACAAGGACTCCTGTGGGTAAATGGATGGCAGCAATGCCTGAAATGATTTATTTGGTTTCAGGTTCAATCCAACCATTTGAAACCATGTCTAGAACTCTCTAATATAACATCTACTTATAACCATCTTTTTTGAAAAAAGTTTTGAAACTCTTCTAAATTGCATAGATCCAATAAAAATGAAAACCTTATGTAAAAGACAGCTTTCATAAAGGGGATGAGAGAGAGAATATTTATATCAGAATTTCTAAGCCAAGGAAAGCAACCATAAAAAGACCAATGTGCTTTCCGGAAACCAAAGCAAAAAAGAAACAGTATTCTCTTCATCAAAAAGAAGTATGCAAAAAAAAAAAAAAGTACACAAGTCTAAGGTTTTCTTAGCATAAAATCTAAAACAGGATTTTTATGTAAATCTTTATTTAAGAGCATGGAATGACATCACAGATAGCTCCTTAAAAAGCAATCTTATCAAATGTGCAAAGGCTTGCGGTCAGCAGTGGCTATTTGTTCTAGTAACTATTTGATAAGAGCTCAGAATTCCAGTTTCTCTTTCTTCCACATTTTGATGAATTCCTTATTGACACAAAATCAAATTGTTTTGTTTTTAATTGCAAGACTCCTCTGTGCTTTAGCATTCATAAGACTCTCTAAAAGGGGATATGTAATGAGTAAACAGCAGTGCCCCAGATTTATCTGGACATGAAACCCCTTTGTTCCACTGCATCTCACATGAATGCCTTCTATAGAACATACTCTGGAAAACCCCCCCACAACAGGTCTCAGCCCCATTCCCTGCTGTGTCATCTGATATACCACTGACAGAATTTAGATGTTTAACCCAAAACGAACTGTAGCAGCCTGCAAAATGCACGTTCCCTTTGTTTAGTTGTGCAGGTGGAAAAGCAGTTGCTGGTATCTTAGGAAATCCATGGTGCTGAAGGCCCCCAGCCCTCTTGCACACAAATGACACACAGCATCCCTGTAAATAGCCTCTTGACCATAGCGGCCAAGATTCCCTGAAGAATACATCAACGTTCTCATAGGATGATTCTGATATAGCGGGTGGGAGGGGCAGAGGGGGAGGAGGAAGAAGCTTAGAGGGAGTTGTGACTTCTCAGTTCCACCCCAGGGGGAATCTACGGAGCCCCAGGCATTGTACTTACATGGCCATGTTGATCTAGTTCATTGTTGGTGAGTTTCACCTTTTCAAAAGACACCATCTGTTTGAGTAGCTGCTCTCCAGTAAAAGGAGAGTCTGGGTGCACATACAGCCTAAGAAAATGATGAGAAATTTTATTGAGACTTTTTTAAAAACTCTGTTCTCTGAGGGGTATAAAATGTTCTGCTTTTAAAGGATATTAATGGTGAATTTTATGTCCGCATAGCATGTCAAATCTAATAATACGGCAATAGCAAAATAATTCAAAAACATGGAAATGTGTTCACCATGTACCAATAACCTAAAATGGGTAATACTGAACAAATTTTCTATTACCCTATTTTTATGATCTAGCTATTTTTTAACGGTGGGATTGTTTTCTACCAATAGACAGCTGGGCTACTTCTGCCAAATACAAAACCTTGTTATAAGCATTTTCAAAAGAAAGACTAGATTATACTAAGCGCATGAGTTCCTAGTATAAGCACTGCTAAAAAGCGATGAAGACCAAGAATTTAAAAAAGAAAACGATTCTAGAAAATCCATTAATTTAAACTTGAAGGTGACTGAATTTAAAGTTTGTGTTCTTTATAAATACAAGACAGAGTAACTTTAACACAGTGACCTGGGGCTCTTCTAATAGCCCATAGATTAGAGTCTGTTGCTCTTCTCAGTACCTGAAACACTATTACTTTTACCATCATCTAGATAATTGCTCACTAAATAAATGTGAAAACAAGTTGGGTAAGCATCAAATTATTCAATGTATTTATTTGTAAACAGTCAAAGCAAAAAAATAAAATGAAATAAAGCTTTGATGAGAAAAAAATGTATTTATCGAGCATCTATCATCTATTGATCAGCTGCTATGTGCAAGGCAATCTTTACTCACAGTTAAATGCAGGCCGTTTGTTCTACCTGCGAGTATCACACTAAGTACAGTTCTTTATAAATCCCAATCCTGGTATCCACTTGACATGAGCTTTACTGAAGTCGGGGGTAGATTATAGAACTAATAAGGGGCAGGAAATATCCTCGATTCAGTATGTGACAATACTTGTCAATTTCAATGACAAATTCCTTTATCCATGAAACAGGTTGCTTATATCTAAATTTTGTATAGGGTCCGTATAACTATAATTAAATGTAAATATTATGATTGGGGCAAAGGCAAGGAAAAATTTTCACAAAACCTTTCCTTGCAATATTTATGTAAAGAACAAGAAGTCTGTGCCATGGTTTGTCACACAGAGGACCAGAAGAGCTTGATGCACGTGCTGAAACAAAGCCCACCAGAAGCAAAGCACAAAAAATGGCTGACAGCACTAAAGATTCTTACTGGGCCCATTCCAAGAACTTTAAAGGCTTTAGGCGTTTGTCTGCCTGTTTGTTGATTTTTTTTTTTTAGGAGGCATACTCCAAATTGCCTTTCAATTGAAATATTCTTTGATGACACAACCATAATAGTTTATCAAGTGTCACTCCTCCAAGCCTATAAGTTTATAGGTGCCATGGTTTTAAGGATCAACACCACGGCCTACCCACCCTGCCAAAAAGGGTTCAGAAATATTTAAAGTCCTAGAAGCTAATGAAATGTTCTCTCTTTAAGTATCAATTCACCACATGTAATCACTTTAATAAAGATTAACTTACTTAAATATCAATTACTTTAAAGAAAAGGAAATGTCCTCTATGGAAATATAGCATTATTTTAGATCATGTATAATGTCTTGCCCATTATTATGATCAAATGATGTCGTCAAGCATTATTTCTTCTAATTAGGAACAACTAACTAATGAAGCACGGTCTGAAATAAAATACCTGAGAGAGCTAGAACCGCAAGGAATTTCCACCCTCAGTACAAAAATGATCACCTACCTAGTTCCTCACCTTCCTTTTATGGAGCTAGAAAATACAGCATTATTTCTTTTTAATAATAATAAAGAATAGCTGCTTAAATTATCTAGAATGTTTTTATCCTGTAGTGCACTAAACATTTTTATCTAATATTAACAGAAATAAGCTGAGCTAGGATGAATGAAAAAGCATCCAGGAAGCCCCTCCTCCCTCACGTCTTCTGGGACTTAAAATTCCAGCAATAGCTTAAACATGCTTCAGCTAAGATAGTGTATTGGTACGTGCTTTCTTTCTCCAACCAGAACAGATTAGTAACATAAACAAGGCATGTCATATTCCAAAAGTCCTGCTGGCCTGCACCAGTTCCCCATACATTCAGATAGCGATTAACTTCTTAGAGCAAAGACATGGAAGGGAGAAAAAAAAAAAAAAGAGGGTTTGTTTGTAAAAATAGTTCGGAATCTGCTAAAACTCCCTTTCTCTCCCTGTTTGTATCCAAAAAGCTCTAAAGTAAAGTGAATCAGCTATTTAATAGTAAATAGTACTGAAGACTAACTATATTCATTTTAATATCTGTTATAAACTGGTCGATCTTGTTCAGTTTTAAAAATTGAGTGACAATTTTTTTCTTAGTGCTGACTGTTATTTAATATGTTTTAAATATACTGATTTGGAAGGGTTGGGAAGATGTCCTTTCTAATCTCTTGTGGGAATGGAAACCTCTGAGAGGCTCCTTTTAATCTCTTCTCTAGTGTATCTACCACCCTGTAAGTGGAAGAACATGACTAACTCCTAAGTAAGCTCAATATTCTATCTGAACTGTATGCGTCAATAGTCTGTGTCGCTCTGTGCCTTTACTAAGACTCCAGGCCAGATTACTTACACAGAACCCTCCATAACTTCTAAGTTCCTAAATCTGTATAGTTAAATAAATTCTTGGCTCTGCTATAAACTTTCAATCAATTCCAAAAATTAGACAGTCATAGAACAAAAGCTGTCAGAGCCCTAAATGTAAAGTCAGCTAATATTCTTTTTTTGTATTAAAGTATGCAGTTAGATTCCTGTGAGTTCAACTATTACTATTCACATAGGTGAATACATGTTCTTTTTTCTTCCAGAATGCTCAGTTGGGCAAAGCGCAAAGCAGCAACAACAAAGGTTTACATGTGATATTTAAACAGGGTTCTCTGGAAAAACAATTATTACCAGTGAATAGGCCAAAGATAAACATAAATGATCCCTAATATATTACTCGAGTAATATTTTGTGTAAAAGAATGTTACCCTGATGTTGAATTACATTCATCCACTAAACTTATACAAAGGGGAAAAAATAGAGTTTACTTTTCTAACTTAAAATCTCTGAGCCCTTCACTGATCAAAAACAACCGCAGTTTACCAAAATGATAGGTATTATGTGCAGATATAACCACATTGTTAACAAATATTTCCTATAAGCAACCACTTTACTCAAATGCACTCTTCCAAAAAGGATTTTAAGGCAACCACTTCATCAGTAGGTTTATCCAGTCTGTAGCCAACTAGAAATGATGGATGTCACAAGAATCGGATCCAGATTTCTAACGAATATTCCAGCTGAAATATCAGAAAAACTTTGAAATGAAATATGAGGATAGATAAAATTAAAGACAATGCCCCGTTGAGACACAAACTCTGTCTTTCTCAGGGACTAGCGCATATTTTGTAGTCAGTCCTGGGGCGTCTGGGCTTGAAATGTTCCGCTAGGAGAGCTCCCAGCTTTAAAAACAGGCCTTCTTAACATTGGCACAACCAGGGCAGGGCATTCTGTCAGCAGGGTGAGCATGCATTTGGCTCAGGGGGGAAATCTGGAGGCACACACCTGGCTGGCAGCGGCGGGTCCGCCTTGCCCGCCACCAGCCAGGAGGACCGGTGGTAGGCGTAGCGGTACCTCTTGTTGTCCACGGGGACGATGTCCATCAGGACTATGTACTTGGCCTCCGGATCCACACCCGAAAATGACACCCGGATGGTAGGAAACATCCTCCTGACACAGGGAGACAAAGAGAATCGGCAGGTGCTCACACTGCCTGCGGAGCGGACCCGATTACCGAGCCCAACATGCTTCCGACCCGGGGTCTCTGGCGCAGACCGAATCGTGCCACTGCCTCGTGTTGCTGGGAGAAAACTGGCTCCTGCCATAGACAGCGAGAGCCAGCTTCTTGGTGTGGGTTTCGGGGACTCTGGGGCTATTTCCCAGAGTCCTGAGAGCTGGAGCGACCAGGCGCCCGCCCCCGCGGCTGCCTGCCTGCCCAGCTGCGGCGCTAAAGGGCCGCCGCGCCAGAGCTCCAGCCTACCCAGAGTGTGGCCGTTTCGAATTTCATCCTTCCGCCAGATTTTAGTTTTAGTTTTAATGGGAGCTGGCTGCTTCTACAAATTGAGGCCGATTAAAAAAAAAAAAAAGCTACCTGCCTCCCTCGAAGACCCAGCCGCCAGCCCCGCACGCTGGTCTGGAGTTTCCCTACCCTCCAGATGCCGACCCAGCACCCCGAGCCCTCTCGGGCTGCAGGGGACAGAGATCCCAGGACCCTGTGCCCTTCTCATCAAGGTCGGGGTGGGGCTTCCCACGGGCGGATCTCCAGAAACCAACGCCTAGCCATCTCTCTGAGCAGCTCTTTCCAAAAGCCAGTTGGTGGAAAGAAGCCCTCCTGGAGCGAAGTTTCCTCTGTGCCCAGGACCAGCGGGGATTCGCCTAACTCCCGGAAACGTCCTAAGCCAGGCAGGGTGCCATGCGCATCTCCCCACTCCTCACCTGCCCAGACCCCACTACCTGCCAGACTTGGTGATGATCATCTCCGTGCCCAGCTCGTGGAATTTGTCCCAGAGCTCCTTGGTCTCCAGGCTGCAGGCAATTTTGGCCATTTCCTCGCTGGGAATGATGGGGGTGGTGGGGATCAGCGGCTCTGTGCACAGCGACGAGGAGGATGGGCTGCTGGCGCCTCCGCTGCCACCGAACTCCCCGTGACCGTCCAGGCTGGTCAGCTCGCCGAGGGGCTGGGCGCAGGACGACTTCTCCACAAATTGTTCTGCAAGAGAGGAAGCATGACAGCTAACGCCGACAGGCAAAGACACGGGAAGGAGAACAGCACAACTAAAATAGGTACCTGGAGTTGACCGTGGGAAAGTTAAGCTCAGAAACCCCATGAAGGCAGCAAGAACCCATTACATAAATCAGGCGTGGTATTTCCGAGGGAATACTGCTTGCTTACTGAAGCAAGCCAGTGAGTTCTAGAACTAGCGTTTGTTACTACCGTTCCTGAAACCCATTTTAGAGAACAAACATGCAAGGAGTTACGGATAAAGGGAAGGGTGGCAGTGGTCACGAAGTATTCCTATTGTTATCCCTCCCAAGTTCTAGACGCTCAGCTTGTGGGATCTGGTGCCAGGTCTGCTCCTGTGACAACCAGGAGAGACTTTTCTCTAGGGAGTGAAGACATTAGCACCCTCCCCACATCGAGAGGAATTTTCCCTTCCCTCCTGGAGTCCTCTCTCCCTAGGAGAAAATGAAAGGTGGAGGTGGATGGGAGTGAGGAAGTGGTTTTAAAAAATCACTTAACTTCTTTGCCTGGCTCTCAGTTTCCTGGGCTTCAAAATGTTAAATTGGGGCGTTTTTTTACAATATCCCTCCCAGCGTGAGATCTTATGAAAGACTCCAGCGTTTAGCTTGTTAAATGACAGGAGTGTGCTTTCTGGGCCATTTCTGGACAAAAAGGTCCTGGAAGTGAGAAAAACAACCCAAAACCCAGGCTAGCAGGAATATTAAAGTAGGGAGAAGGCTTTGCCATCCGCTGTCAGGCTGGAATACCACTGCCTATGAACCAAACATTCCCCTCCACCGCTGATAAGGGCCTGGGACTACACCAGTCACTTTGATGGAATACAGGGGGACTTTTGTAATTACCCCAATTATCTTGCATCCCTTAAAAAAGAAACTACTTGAATCTACAATGTGAAACTGATCTCCAAACAACACTATTCTTAGTGCCCTCAAGGAATTTAAGCAAGTTTTAAATGTAGGTATGTACCTATACATGATGTACATGTCATATAAAATGTTTTATTTCCCATGTTTCTCCTTGATTTGGGGCAGGCAAGTAGGAAACAGAATTGTTTTATCTTCTTTTACAATAATAATCCAAATCAATAATTATCAAAATAATGAGCTTATCTTTATATTTTCAAAGTCAAAGAAAGAGAGCATACTATGTGGCAAAAATCTTATTTTCTACTCATTTTCAGAAGCACATTCACATAATGTCTTAATAGGAAATGAAAAAGTAGCCTTAGAAATTTTCTTATTTTCTGACCATTGAAAAATGCTAGCCCTTAAAGCCCCAGACTAACAAGTGTGTCAAGGTTGGGAAGTGGAGGAAGAAGAAATTGATATAGAAATGCTCTAACACAATGTTAAATGCCAATTATATCTCAATATATATATTTTTCAAAGAAATGCTAAAGAAGTGGTCGGAAGCAGTTCTTCTACACAGACTGAATGTGCTTAAGTGGGCAATCATGAAACACTTTTGACCCCCACCCCACAGTTGCTTCAGCATCTCACTAGGGTTTCAAGGTACTACAGAAGCATGACGTGTTTTTCTTGCCAGAGTCCTTGGCTTATAGTCACTAATTGTTCTCTGTTGAACTGGCCTCTGAAAGGGACAAGGAGATACCTCTGATTCTTTGAGAGACTATCTCAAAGGCCATGGGAGGGATAGTCATCTTACAAACCCTGTGTGCGCGGTAAGGGGGTGGTGGTTTTGTGAGCTGGGAATGGCTTTATAGTTTAGAATTTAGATAAAGGGATTTTTTCCCCCTCAGAAAAATAGACAAGGAAGCAAAATTGAAATGACAATAGGGCTGAAGCTGGTATGTTTTCCAGTCTGCTGTCTGTACTTCTGTCAGGAATTTTAACCTGAAATCCTTTTTTCCTGCAAGCTACCAAACAGTGGTGTGGCCATCTATAAAGAATTTGGAAGCCCCCTAAACAGGAGTGGATAACGTTGGGAAGCCCACCAAACATAACTTGGACATTGGTTACCTTTTTCCCCTAAACAGTTGGGTTTGTTTGATTGGTTGTTTCCATTTCTTTGGCAGGTTTAGATTTTAGGTGGGAGGGTGGGCGGGAAAGCCAGGGGAGGGGAGTGGAAAACCTTGGAGGAGAGGCTTTTTGCGTTACGTTTAAGGAGGCCCTCTGGCTTCTTTCGCCCTGGTTCTGAGTTGCTGCGGGGGTTTGAATTCTCTCTCCTCTCTCTGCCCAGGCCCCTTATTTTTTGTTATCTAATGCTGCATTTTTCATATTGTTGTTTTCAACTGAGATGTTAAGATGTTGTGAAGGACGAAGGAGAGGAAGGAAAAAGTGGGAAGAGTTAAAAAAAGAAATATGATCCTGTTTGCTGTTTGCTGTTTTTCACGGTTTTAGGGCTTCCAGATCAGAGTACGGAATAATTATTTCCCTGGAACCCAAGGGGCGATGATGAGAACACTTCTTTCTCCCTCAATTGCCAAGGGGCTTGGAGCCACATCCCCAGCAGTTTCTTTCCCGCACAATTCACTTGTGACTAGTGGAACACAGTCCCTTTTCTCCCTCGACTCCGAGCCTAGTGTCTTCTATAAATGGTAAAGGTTGTTAAACAAACAGTATAGCTAAAAGTTGAGGAATTTGGGAAATGGTTACTGGCTCGCGTTTTTGCCAACCTCTGCTGAAAATGACGGCAGTTATAAAATGATGTCTTACTGATTAAGTCTAGAGCTTCTGTGAAGAAAACGGTTCATGCAGGAAGAACTGGCTTAGTCCACCGCGGTGATTTTAAGGAACTGACCCTGTTCAGTGTATCAAGTCAAAGGGAAAACAAAATTAAACTAGTTTCTTGTCAAGTCGCTTAGAGTCCCTTTGGTTTCAAATGCACAAGCAGGTGTTACACACATTGTAAGTCCTGTTGAGCCTTAAAAGGGGTCTTATTATTTATCCCTGAATGTTTTCATCCCAACAAAGTTACACACCCACAACCCCATATGTCCGAGTTGACATGGGGGTTCTAGACTAATAAGGGGGGTGATTAGCGCACATACGAGATGCGAAACCGGTTGTATTTAACAGACGATGACACTCCCAGAGAATACTTGGGACCAAAGGAATCAGTCTCCCGTCCCGACGTGGGGCCTATGGCCGGAGGGTCGGAAGCGCCGCGCGCGAGCCGGGAACGAAGGCCACCCTCGGGAGCCCCCCGCAGCCAGGGGACGCAGCATCCCGCTCCTGCCCACCGCTGGCAGCCAGGAGCCCGACTCACCCAGGGGCTTGATGGTGTTCTCCGCGGCCTCCTTCTCCTTGGAACCGCCGCTGGACATGAGCGCGGCGATGGAGAAGGCGTTGGCGCGGGAGGAGAGCTGGGGCTTGGGCGACGCCGTGAACTCCATGGCCTCCGGTGCGCGGTCCTGGCGGGGCACGGGGCCTGCCGAGCTGCTGTCCAGCTTTCCCCAAGGGAGACAAAGGCCGAGACGCAGCGCAAAGTTTCCGAGGGCAGTCACGGCGCGGCCGGGGACCCCGGAGGAGCCAGCCCTAACCTCCTAAGAGCTCCACGCCGCCCTCGCTTCTCTCTCCCACCGCAAAGCCCTCGAGCCGCAGAGGCTCCGAACTGGCCGGAGACGGCGGGAGAAGACCAGCCGCAGGCGCAGCCGGGAGCTCCGCGGGGCCACAGTCTGCGCCGCTGGACGCTGGTGACGAGCATCAGCTGCGCAAAGGCCGGGGGTCCCACAGCACCCGCTCCGCGTCCTTCCTCCCGTCCCCCGCTGGGGACGGCCCAGGCTGCAGGCTGCGGGGCACCGGCGGCGCGCCGCTGAGAAGGGGCGGACGCCGAGACGCCGGAGCGCGGCAAGCCGCGGGAGACACTGCGCCCGGGCGCTCGCAGCCCTGCGCCTTAATTTGCCGGCGGCGGCGATCCCGGCGGCCGGCAGCCAGTCAGCGCCGCACGTCACCACTTCCTGATTCCGACGCCGGGGGCGGGGCCGCCGGGCCGGGCGGGGCGGGGCCAGGCCGGGAGGGCGCGCCCTGGGCGCGCCACGCGCGTGGCCTCGCGCCGCAGCGGGCTGCGAACCTGGCACGGGTTGGGGGAAAGGGGTGCCACCACAAGGCTGGTGCACCCGATGCGGACGCCCCCCCATCCTAGTCTTGCAGTCCCGGGGAGGGAGGGTGGTGCGCGCTGTCTGGAGGGAGCCTTTTGTCGCGACCTAAAACCCGGGGATCCCGGGAGTGGCGCAATGCGTGAGCCTAGACCAGAGGAAGACTCGGGAGAGTTCTCGCATCTTCCGTTCTTTTTCTTAACTGGTATTCAGAGTTCCAAAAGAAAGCTGGGGAGCGCTAAGTAAAGCGGAAAACGGCGCCGCGGAGCTGGTGCCCACGGGCAGTTCCCATTCGCGGGGCTCCTAGTCCCCAGCGCTGGGTCCTAGTATTGGTGGGGCTGCAAATTCTGCTTGACAGTGGGGCTGCGAGGCGCAGCCCTGCGGAAGACACGCTAAGGGGGTGCAGCGAGCATTTGGGAAAGGGTGCTGCGCTCGGAACCACGGTTTCTGCTGCACGCCCCTGTGCCTCTCACCCGGGGCTCCTATTCTCCAGAGTGACTCTGGAAAATGGGGCCTCGTCCGGCGGGAAGGCGAGGGGCGTACGCGGTGCCGGGCGCGCGGCAACCTGCGGGGACACGCGACGCGCAGTGGGAAAGGAGAGCCTTACAGCGCCGGGCTTGGCGGACACCAAACCTGCTGCCTACGCAGATTCTGCGGCGACCACGACTTCCCACGGCCTTGTGGGGGTCGTCCTGTTGGCCTTGTTCAGCTTGAATAACTCAAATTCTCCGAATTCGCAGGGTAATCCGCTTCACTTGGAGCCGTGTAAACTCAGGCTGACACACACACTCAAGCTGTACATGTAAATATTTGCTCTCCTTTTCAGCCATTCGGTCTGGCGATTAGAGGCCACTTGGTGGGTCTTAAAGAAAAAAAAAA